CCCCCCCATTATACAGCTGTTAATGAGGCATAAAAGCTAAACTAATTGTCACTCTCCTTTCTTTCAATAGTGCCATCAAAAAAAAAAAAAAAAGAAAGAAAAAGAAAAAAAGAAAGCCACTTTAAATGAGAGAGGATGTGGAACAAAGGCTCTGCCAGTCTGCACTGGTCCCTTCACGCTGCTGCCCAGCCAACAATGAGAAGAAGGTGACAGGGGAACACACTCAGACGCGTTTGCCAGTCAGACCCTAATCTTTAATTCAGACTGAGATCAGGGTTTAGAGAGTGGGCTGGAGGGGGGTGGAGAAAAACCACAAAGGACATAGACTGTCAATTTGGAATAAAACAATTTCAGAAAACGCTTCCTTCTTTAGTTTCTACTCGACAAGTCAGAATAACCAGGCTGGCTGGGTGGGGTGTGCGCCGCTGCCCCGTGTATTAACAGTAAAATAAATAAATAAATAAAAAATACACACACAATGCAGAGTGCCGCTCACCTTGGTCAGGAAGTGCTCCGTTTCTTGACAGCTTGCTAAATTCATGTGGGGATGTTGGCAGCAGGAAGCCTCCTTGGAAACAGCGAGGATGACTGTAATCCAGTGGCAGCAGCGGAGCTCCGCTCAGAAGAAGGTCTGCCTTTGTGGAGGAGGCTGCATGCTCACATCGCCGGTGTCTGTCCTCCCTCCTGGCTGTCCGATGTGATCGGGCTTCTCCGGAGCGCAGCGGGTCACGGGGCTGCCGCTCTCAACCTGTCTGTCGGGGGAGCATTGCTGATCGGGGGGAAGAGAGAGGGGCCTCAAATAGCTACTGCTGGTTCGATGCTCTGCTCCCTGCTTTCTTGCTTAATGCCCTCCTCTCTTTCAGTCTCTCTCCCTCTCTCTCTCCTCCCCCTCCCTGCTCCTCCTATCTCTTACCGGAGCTCTCCCCCCCCCCCCCCCCCCCCCCCCCCCCAACACATGACGTGATGCAGCCAGCATCTCCAATAGCAACCGTATCCCCCATCACCCCTATCACCCCCATTATCAGCTCGCATCCACTCCACTCCTCACCCCCACACCCCCCCCTGGCTGTCCCCGAATCGCTGACTGGCGCATGGAGGTGGATGCTGAGGCACCTTGCTACTGTGTATCGGTGTGTCG